AGGGGGCTTGCAGAAGGCAGTCTATTGATGTTGCACTCCCACATCAATATTCTCTCTTTTCCCTCTCTTCCTCTCTCTCTAAAAACTCAAAACTATTCTTTAAAACAACAACAGATTTCCAGTTAAGAGAAGACTAAGTAAATGAGCACTTCTTATTACAAACTGCCTTCTATTGAGAATTAAGAGTTTGTGTTCACGTAAGAAGGTGAAAAGGAAGCAGGGGTTCTTTTCATTAGCAAATACAAAGATCCTGACAAGAAGCTTTCTCTAGTCTGTGTGTGAAATTATGTTGTATTTAAATGAGAAAGAAGTGTGGGCCCTGCAGAATGTATTGGGTCCTTTTTTCCCCACTTCTCTCATCTTTTAGGAACACCTTCTTTTGGGGGTGTATTCACATTTCAAATGTCCTCTTGACATTTAATAAATGCTGTACTGGCTCTTTTTTATTTAATAGACACCGGCCACCTACTCTGAGTCGGGTGCTGGATGAACCATTAACGGTAGATGTATCAGTGAGCAGTGGAGAACACCTTTATCATAATGGCACAGATAGTCTTGCTAGATTAAGAGCATCTCATTTTTATTTCTAGGCTTGGAATCTGAATTGTAGTTTCAAGAGTTTTCCAGGTGGCCTGTCCACTCAGTAATCAGGTGACAAGCGAAGAGCCCACGGTTAAGGCAGGTTCTCCCAGGTCAGAAACCTGGCCTCTGGCTCATCTGCTTCCTGCCCACCCTCCTGCCATTGAATTGCTTTGAAGCTTTTCTCATTCTGCTCCCTCACCCCCAGGTCTTTTACGTATCTTTTTTCTTTTCTTTTTCTTTTTTTTTTAAATCTGCTCAAGGTTTCTTAGATGTCTACTATCTGATTTAGGTGCTAACATTGATCTTCTCATTTTCTGACCTAATTTTTTTTCATCGCCTGCTTCTTCCCTTTGCCTGATCACACACATGGCAGACCTGTGTGTTCTGAGAGGTTAACGAAGGTCCTAAATCTTGGGAAGACCTGGGAAAGGAGAGCAGTCTGCAGTGACCCTCCCAAGACCTTCCGAACAAAAACACTGGTCCTGCGCTCCTCAAAGATAGCTGGGCTCGTCCAAAGGCAGGAGGGCCAGCAGACTCAGCCCTGAGTCTCAAACACCCGTAGACAGGAAAACATCCTTTGGCCCCCCACGAGGACATGAAATCGCTTGCTGTGGCACCTAGCATTCTGTTAAAGACAGTGAAAACACGGTCTGTCTTCCTTGACATTTTAATTGAAAGAAAAGCTTACTACATAGATTTCAGCCGTAAGCATTATGTTTATACAAGTGTATAAAGAGGAATCATCTGTCACATTGGAAAACTCTTAATGCTACGGGACTCCGTTTAGTAATTGAACAATCCAACATGAGCTCACACATCTTACCTTGTTCCATGCCTCAGTAATTTTTAGTAGAAATGCTTAACCTAGAGGCATAGGGTTATTAAAAAGGAGGCTCGGCTTGCTCAAAGTCTGGAATTATTAGCTCATGGCAACAAGCCTGCACTGGAGAGAGAATGTCGGGCCTTTGTTTTCACAACTTTACTGCGATTTGCCGCCTTATTTTCAGAGTCTAACCCATGTGCTGTTTGGGAAGTTTGTTGTTTTTTTCTTTTTAAAGGAAGAAAACACAATTTCCCATGGATGAGTGACTTTTCATATTAGCAGTATTTCAGAATTTTACTACTTCATCACAAAGTCCAGGGAGCAGGGTGAATATTAAAGGAAATGGACTGTGAATTTATTTTAGTATAAAAAAATCAATAACAACTTCGTTACGGGATCCATCAGGGTGTGGTGGAGGAAATACTCTGTTGCAAGTTGGATAGAAATCCTGCTTCTTTTCGTAACCCATCTGACCTTGGACAGATGTAAATGTTTTGGAATTCAGATTACTCCTGAGAAAATGGGAGTAATATGCCCTATGTACCACACTGCATTTTTGCAAGTCACGTGAAGGTGAAGATATTTTGAAAAACATGAAGCAGTTTATAAGTGCAATATAAAAAGTTTTATGCAAGTGCAAGTTATTAAATAATTATGTCTATATACACAAGGGGAATTAATTAATGCAATTATTCTCTTACCACTCTTGTTTCAGTGATCTGACTATTCTGAACAAATGATTATTTCCTGGGCCAAGCTACACAATTGCTTCAGTCTAATCCTTTGTATACCCTGTGATGGATAGGCATAGATTTTTTTATTCCTTTCAGCTTTTGTAGTTTTAAAAGCCCAAGCAAGAAGCCTAGAAAACTCCATCAGTTTTGTAGGTGGGGATGGGGAAATTATTTACAGAATCTATATAAAACAATAATTCAAAAATCATTTAGAATCCAAACAGACAGGGTTCTCAAGTAACCATTTTCCCCCTCAAGTATATGTTGCTAATTGGTCTGATTGGCATCATTGGGTAGTTATTATTTTAATCCCAAGAGAACCCGGTACCTTGAAAGCCTTAATTAATGAAGGAATACTTGATATTTTAAAACCGAGTAGATTTATGCATGTGTGGAAATGACTGACCTAATAGGAGCATTGCATTGAATGAAACATACCATTCCCCAATTATTCCGTACCACTGGGAGTTTCCCATAGTCTTGGGAAGAATGAAAACTCATTTTAAAATTTAATTACTTCAGCATCTCCATTCATGTCTCCATTAAGTTGTTTAATGATTTCTTTTTAAAAAGAAAACATGAGTGAAAACTTTTAACCAGATTTTTATTAATATGTTGAGAATAAAATGGAAATGATGGTAGTGTATATATTTTGCCCTTTGTTCAAGAGGATGATATTGCCAATCAACACAATAAAACATTTGAGTTGACTTTCCTGTAATAGTTTTTTGCTTTTCCCTAACTATATTGGAAGTATTATTTCTTCTGTGACTAGGAAAACAGACACATGGTAGAAGGCTACATGCATGTATGTAATGCATGTAGAGGTATATATATACACACACACACACACATATATATATATATGCACATCTATCTATCTGGATGGATGTATAGGTCTATAGGTGAAAGGGGAGTGGATGGATAAATAATTAGCTATCTGTAGGAATACTCTCAATGAATCTTATGAAACTGGGGAGTTCAGATTATTAATTTTATCTTTAAAGGAAACTGAAAATTATTAAGCATGATACAGTTTTATACAGCTATTTATTTTCATTAAATGTCTCAAACAAAACATTAAGACAAGAATATAAATGAGCACTGTCTGTTGATTGAGCCACATGGTACACCCCTCTGATTCCATGCAGCTACCTCTGAATGAGATAAGACTTGGGGAAGTTACAGCCTGCTGGCGAGTTCTGGAGCACTTGAAACCCAGAGTTTTCTGGAACTAGAAAAGCTGACGGGCCTTCAGAGGCCCTCCCAGACCTTGGTGGGAGGTCCCTAGGGCACGTGGCAAGGAATAACCAAGCACTCCATGTGCTTCTCTAAAAACACCCATCTCTTCGTTACAAGCTGCTTACATGTAACTACTCACACGCACATTCTGTTTTTAAAAACTGGGTGTAACCTCTGTATATCTACACAAACAATGTAAAGGCTTTATGTTCTTTTCTATTTTCACTTATACAACTTCCTAAACATATAAGTATAGACTAATTTCTGACTAATCTTTTTATTGATGATGTGTGAGACGCTGATAACTAGCTGTGCTTCCAAAGGAGCTGTCAGACAAAAGTGGGAAACGTAATATTCCTTGGAATTAAGACAGCCTTGCGAAGACAGAGCGTGTTGGCCTCTTCCCCATTTCAGTCTCCCAGTTCTCCACAAGGCACCCACGGGCGGTGAATGAGCCCCAGAGAGAGGCATCGTTCTGCTCAGAGGGGGCTCTGGCCAGGACTCATTCCCCAAAGCGCAGTCCTGTACAGACTGGCTCTGTCTGCAAGTTTCACGTGAGGATTTTTTTTTTTAAAGCAAATGCATTCATTTTGTTAGCAATAGTTTCTATGGTGGCATTCAGCATAAGGTGGTTTGACATATCCATTCAGAGGTCCTGAGGCGGGTTTGTTTACTTGTTTGTTGTTAAGTCTCTAACTTCATGGTCTCTCATTTGTACAACTCCCCAGAGCAAGGGCACCGGACAGGTCACTTATTTGCCATTTTTAATAAACACAAATAATTCCCTTTCCCCCTCAGCCCCATATTCCCTGGCTCATTAATTCAATTTAAGGCCCTTAAATTTTTTTCTGGCAAATTAAATCACAAGCTCAAGCTATGTACTCCCCCGAGGAAAGTATGCTTGCCCAAGTCCTGCAGGTCAGGTCAAAATCAGTTTCTGTCAAACAGCCTCACACCTCGAATTATTATGAAACGAGGGGTTGGAAATTGGGGGCTGGGCTCCGGACTCGTCCCACTACAGTGGCCTGAACACAACCCGACTGTTTTCATTTGTGTCCTGGATTTTGTTTTTTGTTCCACTTGCAGTGGAGAACAGTGGAAAGGTCAAAATAGATTTCTATTGGGAATTCATGAATGAAGCTGGCTCTGCAACTCCAGATAGTGCAAATATATTCAGAGCCAAGCCAGGAGGACTTCCAGGCAAAGGTGTGAGAGAGTGTGGGTAAAACACATGTACACACATCTCTGCTCTGAAGTCCTCCAGAGAGCAGAGACTTCCTAGTCACTGCAGGATTTCACCACTAAGTCTCCATACTAACACTCAGGAGTCAGAAGATTTATCAATTTGTTGTCTATGGAACATCAGTTAGATAACAGAGGTCAGGAAATGAAGTAGAATTTGATGTATTAAGTAGGAAGCAGCAAAGGAAGCCAGACTTGTGTTTTATTTGTTATTATTTCCCTAATATTCTCAATTATGTGGCTCTCACCAGAGGATCTGATCTGCTTTGCATAGAATGGTGTTGTCCCCGCTGGTTCTGGTCCCAGGGAAACAGGCAGTGAGTCCCCTGCCCCGGGCATCAGGAATAATACCTGCTTCTCTTGTTCCTTGTCCCCAGGCCTGTTCCAGGCTCTCTATCTTCTCTGCTACACATCCACAACAGACAGAGACAGCCCATGCCAGCCTCCATGCCCGGGACCCTGCCCAACCCTACGATGCCGGGATCTTCCGCTGTCCTGATGCCAGTAAGTGCTCCTCACTTCCTCCCAGTCTTGCCCCATTTGAAAAAGGAAGGGAAACTGGGCTTCTGGCTGCCTGGGGAGAAAGTGGCTGCTGGATGGAGAGCTGAGCTGTGTGGGGTGGCTTTGAGTGCCTGCTTGTCCATCCCAGGCATCTTGCTGACTCTCCCACCCCTCGGTGCTTCCCTGGTGAGGCACAGGCTCACTTTCCTACTGGTGACAAGTGAACTTGCCACAGCTAGGGAACAGGATTTGTTCAGAGACATGTTTTATGATTATTCCAAAGTCTACACGTGTGCTAGTTACAGAGTGTTCTTAAACTGACAGGGCGTGCTCTGGCCAGGGCTCAGAGTAATAATAATGCCAATAATAATGATGGTACATATAACTCTAACATGTAGTCATACATGCCGTGCTCTATTAATTATCCTCACAGCATTTGTTGAGTGCTTCTCGTGTGCTAGTCATCTCTAGGCACTTTATGAACACATGAAACAATCCTAGGAGGTAGGTACTAATACTTCCCCATATTTTGAATGAGTGAAGGTACCTTGCTTGTCTGAGAAACAGCAGCTCAGTTTTGAACCCAGGCATTCTCGCTCCAGAGCTGACTCTTAACATCTACATGATATGTATGTTTTCTCCTCTCTCACAACAATCCTATGAGGTATGCGCTACTTTTTAAAAAATATGTTTTTATTGATTTTTTACACAGAGGAAGGGAGAGAGATAGAGAGCTAGAAATGCTGATGAGAGAGAAACATCGACCAGCTGCCTCCTGTACACCCTCTACCGGGGATGTGTCCACAACCAATGTACATGCCCTTGACCGGAATCGAACCTGGGACCTTTCAGTCCGCAGACGGACGCTCTACCACTGAGCCAAACCGGCTTTGGCGTATGCGCTATTTTTATCCCCATTTAGCAGATGGGGAAACTGAGTAACTTGGCTAAGGTCGCAGAGCCAGTAGGTAATAGAGTTAGAATTAAAATTCACGTAGTCTGACTCCCAGGTCTACACTCATCACCATTATATTTTCCTGCTTCTCTTTGAAAACAACAGATGGATGTAGATAGGAGACGCAGAATATTCCAGAGCAAACCGTGCTCTCCTTCCATGGGATCCCCTGCCTGTACTTTTCCATCCTCCCTGGCATTCTGCATTGGTGGACATTTGGTGGCTGGTGTTAGTCACAAGGCCACAAGAGTTCTCAAAAACCCTAGAGCGATGGGTGTGAGAATTCTATTAAAGCCCTCCTATCCCGTATCAGCAGAGTATTTTAAAGAATTGCCTACCTTTGTTATTTCATTTTGTTATCACAGCAATCCCATGGGAATGTTGACACTCATTTTACAGATGTAAAGCTAATATCCAATGTCACACAGCTTGTGAATGTAAGGTTGTGACTAGAACCCAAATCTAAACTTACTCTGAGTAGCTCAGCTCTGGCAGGTTGAGCAATTTGCTCATTTATCTGAGTGGGAGGGGACAAAGGAGGGCCTGGAGCCCCAGTTCAAAGAAAGGGACTTGCCCGCTGCATATATCAGGTAGTTCAGGCTAGAAACAGTCTTTGCAAAATTGGGTCATATGAGCTGGCTGACTTCACCTAATTCCTCAATGTAAACATCTTTCAATGAAGCAAAACAGCTCCATCAATGTCATTACCCCAGGTTTTATTCAACCCAATTAATTGCATGAAGACATCCACTAAATGCCATCTCCATTTAGGTTCTCAATTCCTCTTGTCCAAAATTAGTCCCCTCTCAGAAAGTTGATCCATTGTTCAAAAACTATTACTGAGTGACCTTGCTTCCATCTGACTAAAGTGTGTGCCAATCTCAGGGACAAGCGTGGGACACTTGGATTGTAAAGGCCCAGAAAAAAAGTACCTGGCATCTGTTTCCTGCCTCTCTTTGTTGTGCCATATCACCTCATTGTACAATTGGATCTCCTGGTGATGCTTCAGAATAGAAAGGAAGAATTGGGTGCCTGGTGCAGAGCCAGGGTAGATAAAAATCAGGGATGCTTCCTGCACAGGAGTTCCCAGCCCCATGTCAGGGACAGGTAGCAGCTGCCAGGACAATAGTGTCAGTCCAGAGCAGTGATGCTGAACCAGGGGTGATTTGGCTCCCTGAGAATATTGGGCAGCATCTGCAGATACTGTTGCTTATCACAACTGGGGTATGTGTGTGAGGGGAGAGGGGGTAGTGATTGGCATCTAGTGGGTGGAGGCCAGGGATGCTGTTAAACTTTCTACAGTGCACACAACAGCCACCACAACAAAAAATTATTTTGCTCTAATTAAATAGTGCTGAGGTTGAGAAACTGAGGTCTAAAGTGACAAAGATATAACTAATGGAAATTCATATAAATGCTCTAAAAAACATATCCTAAGAGTTATAGGACCTAGAAATCTGGATCTTTTCTTCCGTATTATCAAGTCACCAGCTTTGGTATTTTGAGCATCATCTTCCAGAGTTCCCGCCACAGGAAACCATGGTTTCCGGGTATAAAAATGGTTTGGGTCTGCAGGTGCAGGTGAGATTTTTAACTGATTGGTAGCCTATGCTATCATGCCACACATTTCACAGAGCATTGGGTATGAAATAAAATGACTCATTCCACAAACTTTTGTTGAGCACCTTCTATGGGCCAATGACTATGCTAGATTCTGGGATGGGACAAGGGACAAGGTAAGGAGCTCACTGGGCTGTGATATTCTATCTTCCAAGTCACATGCTTTAATTTGGGGACACGGAACATCCATTTGTTATTTCAAAAGCCCCCCGAAGTGCAGATATCTTAGTTTCCATTCTCCAGTGTGTTTACAGGAAGGGAAAAAGCTCAAAAAAAAAAGGTGAATTCTTTAATCTGGATGTTTTACAGACAATGCAAAGCCTCTCCATCTTCTGACCCCTTGTTCTAGCCAGCTCCTCAAAGCCACAGGCTTGGTGCAGAGCCTCATTAGTGAGCCCCGAAGAGTTGTTTTGAAGAGACTGCTCTTGACCCTATAATCATTTAGAGGGAACTATGCTTTTTTTTTTTTTTTTAAGATAGAGAAGTCAGCCTGTTTTCAAAATTCTGTTTAATCTGTGAGTCATGGGGTAGAAGTAGTCACAGACTATAATTTTTCTGAAAAACTGGAAGCACAGTGGACTGGGATTCAGATGCTGAAACCGGCTGCGCTGAGGTTTGTAGTGCATGAGGGCTAGCAGCATGGGAACGTCTGACAGTCACCTGTAGTTCCCAACGTTCCAAAAGTCTCCTTGGGAAAACTGAGGGCAAAAGCTTAGTTGGGTTTGATTTCTCTATAGGAGAAGGTCATCTGTTGAAAAAAGGGTGAAATCTTTGGAAGTGGGTGTTATCATTAATAAGCATTTTCCTGAACAATCTTCATGATGTAAGGATTAGAGAAACACACACATACAAGAATTAGAGTACACAAATGTAGTGCTAATGGCACTGAACTGTACACTTAAAAATTGTTAAAATGGAAATTCTTATGTACATTTTACCATGATTTTTTTTAAAATAACTTTTTAAAATATTTTAAATTATTATTATTGTTATTATTATTATTATTATTATTATTATTTTAGAAAGAGAGGAAAGGCAAAGGAGAGAGAGATACGCATTGATGAGATAGACATCTATTGGCTGCCTTCTGCACCAGGGATAGAGCCCGCAACCAAGGCATGTGTCCTGACCGGGAATTGAACCACACCTCTTGATGCATGGGGTTGACACTCAACCACTGAGCCACACCAGCTGGGCTAAAAACATAATTTGGGGTGATATGAGTGTAAATATTTTATTGTACTGAATTGATAAAGCCTCAAAAGGTTTTGGCAGGTGTGCTCTAGAACATCTAGAAAATTCTTTCAATAGCTCCTTTTGAAACAGTTTGACATACCCACACACTGTTGACACAGATGAACTGATTTAGGCTAAGGTAAGGCTAATGGTGTTGCAGTGAGGGGTGTGGCAACCAGACATTCGGGAGAAGCTGAGCGGCACCTCTGTAATTCACACATCAGTGTCATGGCCATGCCCTGCCCAGGAGTGGGCACAACAGGAATTGGAGTCACAGAACCTCAAAAATGGGAAGGACATTAAAGGGTCATTTAGTTCAACTATGGCTCTCACCTCTCCTCTGTGAGCCTCTCCTCACCTCTCACCTCACCTTCCTTCAGTGAGAAGGAGCTCTGGGTTCCCCAAGACTAGCAAGGCTAACTTGGAGCAGAAACCAGTTCCCTAACATTTCCGACCATGGTTCTCATTCCCATCTTTTGGCAAATGGAAAAACTCTTGCATTGAAGAATCCCCCTAGGAATGTCTCATGATTTTCTGTGATTCCGGTGTAAAATAGAGGTTGGGGCAAAAGTAGGTTTACAGTTCTTTGTATGAAAAATAATGCAACAATTAATACATAATACAAGAATAAACTCTTTTTATGTACTCACAACTGTACATCTACTTTTGCCCAATCTACTTTTGCCCAGCCCTGTAATAAAGCAAATATTTGCTTTATCTTGGTTCTTTGAAAGGGGCTAATTTTCTACTAAACAGCAAATATTCATCAGGCACATTCTCTCATGACTGAACTAGAGATCTTGCTGTATTTACATTTTAGCAGGAGCACCCTGGAGACAAAAATGCCAGAATTCAATGTAGCTCTTTGAATGATATTGATGATATACACCATGGTAGGTCAGCAGGACAATGTGGGATCAGTGAATCACATCATACAAAACCCTCCGCTACCTTCTTCACCTGCCCACAGGCTCAGTCTCACCATGAGGCCTGAGGCTGCAGTTGTGTAGTCCTGAGGGGGTTAACAGGGAGGAAGACATGTGTTGGAGGCAGAGGATCAGATATCTGGCTGGGTCCTCTCTGTTGTGTTTATGAGGAAGAATGAAAGGCAGACCCATCAGAGACGCTTTCAAATTTAATTGTATTTTTTCTTATCGCTAACCCAATTCATGTTTCTGTATGAAATTTAGGGATGGGGGGAAAAGCCACAGATAACCTGAGATAACCATTTGGCATATTTTATATCCTTCCAGCATTTTTCTGTGCATATGTTATTCTTCATAGCTATAAAAATCAGTGTAATTCCTGGCAGTTGGAGGGTTTGCAAAAGTGAAAATATTGGATACTTTTGTTTGGAAATGATCTACATGACAAGGTAGTTCTGTTTGGCTTGGGGCATCTTCTATAGAAGGTGTAGCTTTGGGTGATTCTTGGATGTCATTGGGTTCGAGGCTCAGGGAGTGCATTGCTTACCGTTCACCAAACACAGACTTTCTCCCCAGTTATTCAAAGAAACTAGACACGATCCATTTGAAAGAGAAATGCTGCTTTGTCTGTGGCCTGGACTGTCTCCTCAGACGCCTGACTGTTGCTTTCCTTTGTCTTAGATGGAGAGACAAATGTCAGTGAACTCCAACCTCCTGGGAATGCAAGGTCCAAATCTCAGCAACCCCTGTGCTTCTCCCCAAGTCCAGCCGATGCATTCAGAAGCCAAAATGGTAAATAACACGTATAATCACCTTTTGTTGTGGCATGATTTTTTCTTTTGATTCCTTCTCTGGCTTCTACATTTTGGTCAAGTCAGGTAGACGGCTCCGTCTTTGTTGTGGTGGAGAGGTCTTTGTGGAAAGGCTGTGTGCAGAGGTTGGCTCTTTCTTGGAAGATGTTTGTTACTGAACCTTGAAGTAGATGGTCATGTAATGAGCTTTGGATCAGCGCGTGGCCTTAGTGAAAGAGGTATGAAGAAGTTTGGGGGGATTCCATGGCAGTTAAGTGGGATGCACCTAAGTATGTGTGTATTTACTCATAACCGGTAATTAAGACTAATCGCAAGTTTCTCTTCTTCAAGGTGGTCACAGTTTCAGTGCCTCTCATCCTGTCCCCATACCCATTTATACATGCGTTTGATTTCTAAGCTCACACTATTATGGGAATATTTTGCATTTTTTGTCATAGTTGTCAGATGTGATGTTGATTGGAGAGGATCAGAGCAGAGTAACAAACACATGATTTCAGGTGACAGCCTTCAGTGACTTTTAACATATGAGACTTATGTACAGTAAGGTCAGTCTTCCCAATCCCAGTGCTAGATACATGCATTTATGTTCTAAATATTAATAAAAAGCAGCGCATGTCCAACTTGACAATACAAAATAAATTTGCTGGTTATGACTAGTGAAGTTGCTTGAAGTAGGTCATTCAATTCTCGTTCACATTCTAACACCATGATTAGTAAGGTATCAGATGACAACAAAAGGTTTGACTATCTGTTGCTAATGGGTCCTTTTGTGAGAAGTTGGAGATTTATTTGGCTTGCTGACTGACAGCATTAGGGAACTTGTTTGATAGTTGCTATGAGGATGCTCTTGACAGTTCTAAGAATTAGCTATTAAAACCCAGTGAGTTCATTTTCAATGGCAGCAAGTTGTTGTTATTGTTGTTTTTGTGTTTTGTTTTGTTTTAATGTCTTCTTCTCTTCGGTCACTTTGTCTTGGAAACTTCACTCATTTGACATGCAGCTTCTTGACCCAAGGAAGCTATGGAACTCCCAGTGTTGGCTACCTCTGGCAAATAAAATCTGTGGTCAAGAAGTTCTCTATGCTGTGCCACAGTCCCTGTGACATGCCAAATGGCACCGGCATCTTCGGCAAAGCTCGTTAAATCTTTTTGGAATTGGCAAATATTTTTTCAACTAAAGCCCTGTAGAGCCAAACCAAATACTTGCTGGCAGAGTATAGTTCAAACTGGCATCAGTTTTGGAGACCAGAGTAATGCCATTTACTTTTTTTTTTTTTTAAGGAAAATAAAAAATGAACTGTGAAGGCACTTAAGAAAAAAATTAAGTTATTCATGTGTATGAAGACGTGTTCTGGGTCTGAGCATCCTATGCACCTTGCCAACCTCCCCCCTAACCCCCGCCTCACCCCCCACCCCTGCCTGCAACTGGATTATTTCTGAATCGTCTTGTTTGGTTCAGGTCTGTATCCTTTTTGAGGGACCTCCCAGACAAACTTGAGGTGGATTCTCAAACATAAGTTCAAACCAGATTTCCCTGCCAATTGATTTTCACTGGCTTTTATGCTACCACTTGACTCAAAGTGTCCTGCCCTTTTCCTTGCTAGCAAAGAAGTAAAATGCTTCCAAAGGGAGTGCAGGCTGTGATTACTTATGCATAGGAAATAAAAGCATATGGAATGGCAAATTAATAGTGAATAATATCAGCTGGTGACAAAAAGGGAATTGGTCTGTACTTATAAAAATAGTGTTACCCCACAAATGTTTGTTGAGTTAAATTTACTGAGCGGGCGCACTCCTCTGCTGATTCATGTTCTAAGTGAATAAATATTTCCAGATCCATGATATCTAGACAAATGAATTCTACAATGGAGTTGGGGCTTAAGGAACACAGTTATTTCTCTACCCCAAGCTTCCATGCCTAATCCCATTATTGCCAATATGTTACCCAGGGGGAAATGGTAGCATTCGCCATTCGTATATTGGAAGCATAGCATTTACTTAAGTAGCTTGCAAAAGTGTTAAGTAAGTGACTTTTAGTACATTACTCAGCATCTCAGCATCCCTATTCTTATTCTGCCTGCATTATTCACTAGAGAAACCAGTGCTTGCCATCTACTAACGTTACAGTATTTTCTAGCAACTTTGGTTACTGAGATGAAAGCTTTTATGAAAAACCAAGTAGTGAAGAAAAAAAAATCGATGATTTTCATGTCAGCCAGAGCCTCCCCAGGTTTCTCAGAACTATAGGCTTTGTTGTTCTATGCCTAATTTTCTTCCTGTGTAAGACTGGAATGGATTCCAGATTTCAACTAAGACTCTTGTTTCACTGTTTTCAAGGACTTTTCCAAAGGTCACACATGGGCTATTTTGATGAATGCACTGGGGGCGGGGGGGAGGAGGTGTTTTCGGAGCACACGAGAGAAACCAGAGAGGCGTCTCCCACACCCAACACTACAGACGTATTCTGCTGGGGGCAGTGGTGTTCACACTCCCCGTTGGCCACTGACAAAAGCCATCATCCTGAATCTCTGGTGAAACTTGGAGGTCCTGTAGGTAGACTAGAGCTTAAAACAGGATTGTTTTAAATGCACAAGTTTGTTAGACACTGTCTGGCTAGTGATTGCTTAGTAGAATACAGCCACTTTCCCTGCCCCAAATTGAACATTTCCATTGTGGGAGAGCAGAATAGGTGTCCCCAATAAGCTCTACAGTGCATTAATTCGGGAATCCTAAATCACGAAGCATACATGTCCTTCTTTTGACTTAATGTACATTAGTACCAAGCAGTGACTTCAATGTACTGTAGCCACATCTGTGCTGGTTTTATAATAATCCTAGCAGATTATAATTTAGTTTTATGGATTGTTATTCAGAAGAATTAAGCCAACTGACACATGGCTTCGTAACTGCACAAGTAAATACATGCATATTGAAGTTTGTTTGGGGGTCAGAGCAAACTCAAATGTGTGAGAGCTTTCCATCTTTCCAACCACCCAAAACAGCAGGCTCTTCCTCCAGGTTCCTGGGATCAGTGAGTGTCTTCTATGACCTGGGGTCTGCTGGGAAGGAAATTCACATGATACCTCGTGGTCATTTTGAACATCCAAAGAGAAAAGTGAGGGAAAGAGGGAGGTACACAGAGAGAAATGAAAAAGGAGGAGAAGAAGGAAACATGGGTGCTATCCCCATTTTACAGCTGGGCCAGCTGAAGCTCCAAGCAGTTAAAACCTGGCCCACAACACATCACTTAGCAAAGGCTAATGTCTCAGACTCTAATGGCAAAGCTTTTTTGACACATTTATCCTTTAGACAAAAATGTCATATAGCTTCCAGATATCAGTAACCAACAGATTAAATCACATTCTTTTGCATTAATTTATTTTTATATACAAACTAGAGGCCTGGTGCATGAAAATTTGTACACTGGTGTGTGTGGGGGGGGGGAGGGCTTCCTCAGCCCAGCCTACCCCCTCTTACAGTCCGGGAGCCCTAGGGGATGTCCTACTGACAGCTTAGGTCTACTCTCCGTAGGGAGCTGGCCTAAGCTGCAGTCTGGCCTCCATCTGCAGTAGGCAACCAGGCAATCAGGGCAAGGTGCCACCCCCATCACCCCACTGTTGCTGTCACTGCCGGCCCTCCTCAGCCCTTGCAGCTGCGGCTTTGTCCAGAAGGACATGCGGAAAACATCTGGTCTATCCAGTCTAATTAGAATGTTACTCTTTTATTAGTAGAGATGGGATACAAGGGTGGCAAGGATGGTGCAGGCTTGCAGATAACCTGGAAAGGATGAGGAGCAGGCGGTGATATGGAACTTGCCCCTTGGTTAAACCAGAGCTCTGTGGCCTCACTGACTGGTCTAGCTTTTCTGCCTCTTTCTCCAAACACATTTTTGTTTGTTTATTTGTTAATCCTCACCAGAGGATATTTTTTCCATTGATTTTAGAGAGTGAAAGGTACGGGGTTAGACAGAGAGAGAAAAAACATCAATATGAGAGAGACTTATCAATTGGTTGCCTCCCGCACACACCCCTACCGGGGCCAGAGATCAAGCCTGTAACTGAGGTATGTGCCGTTGACCCGAATCAAACCTGTGACCCTTCAGTCCTAGGGCCGACACTCTATCCACTGAGCCAAACCGGCTAGGGCACCAAACACATTTTTATCTTGATGTTTCTTGTTTTCCACTTGACTGAATGGAAACTCTTTGAAGGTAATTCTTGCATTGTGTAAGCTCCATGTACTGAGAAAGGCCCCATGAGTGAAAACTGAACTTAATTGAGTTGAGTTGGATTTAAATTATGGGAAAGAACAAAACCCTAAACATGGAAATAGGGTAGGATAGAGTGGGTAGGGAGCAAGGGTGGGACTGAGAAGGAGAGAATCAAAGTAGATAAACGCTCAGCTAAGTAATTAGTAGGTAAAGAGTAGCTGATGCCCAGCCTGCGTGGGTCAGTGGTTGAGTGCTGATCTATGAACCAGGAGGTCACGGTTCTATTCTCAGTCAGGGTACATGCCTAAGTTGTGGGCTTGATCCCTACAGGCAGCAGATCGAGGATCCTCTCTCATCTTTAATGTTTCTATCTGTCTCCCTTTCTTTTCTTCTTAAAATCAATAAAAATATATTTTTAAAAGAGCAGCTGATTACATTTGTTTTCTTTGAAAGGTATCTAGAAACAGCATCCATCATATTATTTCCTTGATAGAAAAGCAATATGTCTGTTTCTTAGAAAATTGAAGATGGAATATCATTGCCCTCCTAGGAACTGCAAGCAATCAGTATGCTGTTTCTTCCATTGTGATGGACTGGTTGTGCTGTATTTTGGTCTTCGACTGTCAATACTTCATTCACAGCTAGGTTTACAGTTCATTGAATGCATACATAAACATATGTATTAATGACTGAGAGAAAGAAACCAAAAAGATTGGAGAGTCAGGGATTTTTTTAAATCTTTTTTTATTCTTTATTGTTGAATGTATTACA